CCCTCACATCTTGATTCTGAACATCTGAGTATTGTCAACCATAAATGAAAAGGAAAGTGGATTTTCTGCTCAAAACCAGAGAACATTATTGAACTCCTTTCTCTAATCAATTGATAATGAGAGTTTATTGACCAACTATTCTGCCCAGTGCTTTTAGGCACTATGGAGGATATAAAGACATGCCCACTGCTTTTAAGATGCTTTAAACTTGGAAGAAAATGTAAAAAATAAATAATAACATTCAGCATTCATTCATTCAACTGGTAGATGCCTACTGTACTGGGCATGGGATAGATATATAAACAGGTAGATTGGTATTCATAGATAAATGTAACTAGTGAATAGTGTGTTGATAAATTTTCAACCACTGGTTCATAGGAAGGAAAAATATCCCAAGTGTATTATATTCCCTTTGGCATCAATAGTCAGAGTGGCCAATTTTAAGGTATCAAAATGACACCACTGAACTTTGGAGTTAGAATATGAGCACACAGTAGACCCTTTGCTAGCTGGATGTCATCTGGTTCTACCACAGCTCTGACTAGAATTAAAAGCCAGATTGCATGAAAAGTACAAGAATGTGTTGTTGAAGGAAGAAAAAATAGCATCCCATATCATTCTGGAAAGTGCTCCTTGAGCAGGAAGGAGATGCCCTAGTCATCCAGGAGGATCGAGGTTTGCACAGAAGGAACAAAGGGCATTCTGGGTCAAAGACATTGGCTTAAACAAAGACGCAAGCTAAGAATGGACAAGGGGTACCTTCAGTCTGCAAAGCAGATTGAATTGGAGAGCCAAACTACCATAAATCCAGATAGCAGGCTCTTGAAAATAAGGCCTTCCTCATCTAACATGGTTCAGGAAGGGGTTGGGGCATAGAAGTCCTCAGAATCATGTGTAAGGGGCATGTACATAAAGCCTGCACTGGCACCAGGGATGTGTGCCTAGTGGTACCATCAGCTTCAGGACAATTAAAAGGCTCATCACATAATAATTATAATAATAGCAAATGCTTATTAAGAGCTAACTCTTCTATGTTGGAAATGTACCATCTATTGACTCATTAATCTACACAACCTAATGAGTGGCCACTACTGCTGAGCCCCTTTTACACTTGAATAAACCAAAGCACCAAAATCAAAAATTTTATGGACTCCCTTGTTTCTAAATCCTTCTGTTATTCCTTTTCCTTTGTTTTCTTTTTCTTTTTTGTATCACTTCACTGTCCACTGCTATCATGAACAATCTGAGGCTGGGTGACTTATAATAAAAAGGTTTATTTTGGCCCCAGGGCTGTTTCCAGTGGTCCCCAAGGTGGTACAGTTTATCACTTGGCAAGAGACAGGACATTTGCGTGTGTGCATGCCTGTGTTCCCTCTGGCTTGTCTCTCCTTTGGTAAAGCTGCTGGTATTCAGTAGTGGGGAATACACCCCCATAACTTCATCAAACTCTAACCACCTCTCAAAGGCTCCTCCTCTAAACATCATAGATTAATTCCCAACCCTCTTAATACTTTACAGTGAGGATTAAACTCTAAAGTGCCCAAAGGGACACACTATACATTTTTTTCTTCTTTTTTATTCTCTCTGAACTTTTCTCAAATTTCTCATACCCATCACTAAGCAGCTTCAGCAATCATTAATTCACAGCAGCCTCATTTCTGTGCACTCCCACTCTTTCCCACTCCCAAAATATATGAAGCAAATCCCAAGCATATGTAATTGCATCTATAAATAACTCTGAATCTCTCCAATATAAAGACTCATTAAACACATACACACATTTACTGTTATTGAGTTTTAAATTAACAGTAATTTTAAATATCATCCAATATCTAGTTATCATAGTCATCCAGTTACCTCATAAATGCAGCATAAAAATTAAATAACTTCAAATTAGGCTCCATGTAATTTTCATATATTGTACTTGATTGCTCTTTAAGTCTGTAAACTTTCCCCATTTTTACATACAACTTAGTTGTAGAAGAAACCATATGATGCTTTTTATTGTATTTTTCCATAATTTGGATTTTACTATTTATGTTTCTATGTTTTAAGATGTTTCCTTGCTTTCTACATTTCTGGTAAATTAGTGATTTCCAGAAGACTGATCAAATAATAATAATAATAATTATTATTATTATTAATGCACCTAAAATTTGATGTCTTTTTAATGATCTTTTTTACAATCATACCATTGACAATCATTGCCTACACCCATTATTTTATTAGGGGCCACAAAATAGTGATGTTTTAATTTTACCATTCTTTGTTCATTCATTGAATTCAATTGAAATATTTCAGCAAGAAAAAAATTTTCCTTTAGCATGAACTACTGACTTTTGTTACCTTGATAAGTATTTTATAGTTGAAATGCAGACTAAATGCTTAATTCTTTTGCTTTATTTGCCATTTTTTCAAAAAAGTTTGTTTGCAATCAATGTCCAGAAATGAACATTGAAGCTTTTGTTGTTATTGCTGCTTCTATGTGTGTTAGATGTTTTATGTCATTACTAACTTGTGGATTTAAACACACATGGTGTATTTTAATGAATGACTTTATTATGTTTTCCAGGCTACAATTTTCCATAGTTAATCAATGGACATACTCTGAGTTCTTTTGGTTTCTGGGTCTTTTTGACATGACTCTAGAAGCCTTTTATACCTTCTATGCTCTTGGAATAACAAGATATCCCACTCTTGCCTTGTACACTTTATCCCAAACTTGGAAGCAGCCATTTTTTTTTGCAATATTTATAGACTACACTGTAGTTGCTAGAGATGTACAACAGTGGTTCTTTCTAATATAAAGAGTGGCACGAAAACTTCAAGCTGCAGATCAGTAAAAATTTTTCTGTCTGGGCTTAGTTTCTGTTGAAGCAAAGATAAAATGCCCACTATATAAGTTTTCCTGTTTACCAATTTGACTACAATTTTGCCCTCTTCATTATTTCCTTCTTTTACCATTAAGACCTTTATGAAAAAGAAAATCAAACCAACAAAAATTTAAGAATTCACCGGGAAAGCATTATTAATTTCAAAAATCAGATGTGTTACATTTTATTATAATGTCAATCCTCTAAAGAGGAAACAGGGCCAGGGATATAGCTCAGTGGCACTGTGCCTGTCTGGCAAGAGTAAAGTCGTGAGTTTGATCCCTAGTACAAAGAGAGAGAGAGAGAGAGAGAGAGAGAGAGAGAGAGAGAGAGAGGGAGGGAGAGGGAGGGAGA